ATTTATTTTATGTTTGTTTACTGTGTCCTAGCTTCTTGTTTTGTTTTGATATGCCCTAATAGGCTGCTCATATGAGCTAGTTTGATTATTGGCACCTTTGAACCTCTAATGTCCTGTCACCAGGTATTTAAATCTATTACTAGGTATGTGAACTCAGGAGTCCGTCCACTCTTCCTATATGGATTCAGCTCAGGTGCCCAGGTAGATAGCCACCAAGTGTGTGGTGTAGGCTCTCACCTACAGTCCTAGACAGGCACAGGTGATTGGTGTAGGCACAGGCATCTGGTTGTAGCAGGGGGACCCACTCTGAGCAAGGCAGGGGGCTGATGGCTACCCCCGAGCATCCAGGAAGAAGGCGTGTCCCTGTTCCCTAGAGTGTGTAGGTGGGTGGGTTTTGCAGCCGGACTATGAGCACCCAATGCTATTGGCTGTAAGGACTGGGAGGCACCTCTTATTCTTGGGCCCCTATCTCAGGTGGCTAGGTGGCATGGGTGAAGCCACCAGTCCTCAGGCCCCTGATGTGGGTAGGTGAAGACCCTGCTTAATGGGCAGAGCAGTGTCAAATGTCACGAACCTGCCACTTCACAGCTGAAACAGTTGAAGTTAGAGTTCCGGTATATACCCTGTTATACTGCAGTAAATAGGGCCTACGGTGTTGAAATGCGCCCGAACAAGTCTATGCAGGGGGAAAGGTGCTCAGAGTCCGTGGATCCCTTATGCCTGTGCCTAGGCAAAGGAGGTGCCTACCCTGGGTTCCTAGTTTAGGGGAGCTGGCGATTTATTTTTTTCCCCTGTTTATTAATTTGTTCACTCTACAAGGCCGGGAGAATGGCTCTGGGTGTGTGACAGATCCTACTTCCAGCCCAGGGGACTCGGCAATTGCTGAAGCTGGTCCAGGACCCAGTGCAGAGCAGTGAGGAGGGTGGCAAATGGGAGAGAGGTTTTTCTCTAAGGGGAGTGTTTTTGATCTGCACGGTAGGCCGTATGCAAGTACTTATCTTTTGCTGATGAGGGCTGCTTCTCACTGGTTCTGGGTAGCTGAGTAGACTCTCTGGTGCTGGGTCTCTCCCCCTGTGGAAAACGCACCTCCCAAACACAGCTGCTTGCCTGCCTCACCACTCACCCATGAGCTGATCAGGCCTGAAGGGCTCAGGCACTTGCTGGGTCAGGTCTGGCAACTCCTCCGCTGCTTCTGAACTGTCTCTCCCTCCCCCCACCACTCAGTCTGGTTCCTCAACTTTACCTTAGATGTTCCCAGCTCCTAGATTGTCATATGTAATTGATTCACTTGTTTTTTCGGGTCTTTGTTGTAAGAGGGTCCACCAGAAGCATCTGACTACTCTGCCGTCTTGGCCCCGCCTCTCTTCCTCATTTTTAAAGTAAATGTCAAAACTAGCAAATTAACCAAAGAGAGTAAAGAGAATATTCAATCATAACCTCACATAAAGAGAAAAAATGTTTTCCTTTATTGTACATTAAGTGAAAGTTTACAGCTCAAGTTAGTTTCTCATAAAAAAATTTATATGCACATTGTTATGTGACCCTAGTTGCTATCCCTATAATATGTCAGCACACTCCTTCTTTCCACCTGGATTTCCTGTGTCCTTTCAACCAATTCTTGTCCTTTTCTGCCTTCTCATCTTGCCTCTGGACAGGAGCTGCCCATTTAGGCTCATGTATCTACTTGAACTAAGAAGCACACTCTTCACAAGTATCATTTTATGTCTTATAGTCCAGTCTAATATTTGTCTGAAGAGTTGGCTTTGGGAATGGTTTTAGTTCTGGGTTAACAGAAAGTCCAGGGGCCATGTCTTCTGGGGTTCCTCCAGTCTCAGTCAGACCATTAACTCTGGTCTTTCTGCTAGACTTTAAGTTCTGCACCCCACTTTTCTCCTCCTCCATCAGGGACTCTGTTATGTTCCCTGTCAGGATGGTCGCTGAAGGTAGCTGGGCACTATCTAGTTCTTCTGGTCTCAGGCTGATGGAGTCTCTGGTTTATGTGGCCCTTTTGTCTCTTGGACTAATATTTTCCTTTTGTCTTTGGTGTTCTTCACTCTCCTTTGCGCCAGGTGGGTTGGGACCAATTGATGCATCTTAGATGGCCGCTTGCAAGCTTTTAAGATCCCAGATGCCGCTCACCAACGTGGGATGAAGAACATTTTCTTAATAAATTTTGTTATGCCAATTGACCTAGATGTCCCCTGAAACCATGGTCCCCAGACCCCCACCCCTGCTACTCTGTTCCTTGAAGTGTTTGGTTGTATTTGGGAAACTTCTTAGCTTTTGGTTTAGCCCAGTTGTGCTGACTTCCCCTTAATTGTGTGTTGTCCTTCCTTTCATCTGAGATAATTCTTGTTTACTATCTAGTTAGTGAAAACCCGTCACTCTCCCTCCCCACCCTGGTAACCATCAAAGAATGTTTTCTTCTGTGTTTAAACCTTTTCTTGAGTTCTTATAATAGTGGTCTCATACAATATCTGTCCTTTTTTGACTGACTAATTTCACTCAGCATAATGCCTTCCAGATTCATCCATGTTGTCAGATGTTTTGCAGATTCATCATTGTTCTTTATCATTTCATAGTATTCCATTGTGTGACTATGCCATCATTTGTTTATCCATTCATCCGTTGATGGGCACCTAGGTTGTGTCCATCTTTTTCCTATTGTTAACAGTGCTGCAATGAACATGTATGGGTGTGCGTATATCTATTCATGTGATGGCTCTTATTTTTCTAGGATATATTCCAAGAAGTGAGATTGCTGGATTGTATGGTACTTCCATTTCTATCTTTTTAAGGAAGCACCAAATCGATTTCCAAAGAGGTTGTACCATTTTACATTCCTACCAGCAGTGTCTAAGTGTTCCAGTCTTAAACCGAAAATTTTAAAATTCGAAGAGAATACTAAATAGAATTGCGCATTTATGCATTTGAAAAAGTGATTTAAAATTGACAATTACTAGTTAATAACATATTAAATAAACAAAAAGTACTTAATACAGGAAATAGGGAGAAAAACACACGATACCGTCACAGTCCTTCCAAAAAAAAACCAAACTAAACCCGTTGCTGTTGAGTCGATTCCACTCATAGCAACCCTATAGGACGGAGTAGAACTTAGCACAAGCAAACCTACTACTCCTTCTTTTGAACCACTCAATGTTTTTAGCCTGCTAGGTAAAAGGAGATAGTTTGAACTGCTATTATGTGTACATATGCATGCATTATGAACTTCTAGTATGTATACACATACTAAACATGAAGAGCAAAAAAAAAAAAAAAAGTCTATATAATTTCTTCCCCAAAAAGACATGAACCCTGTATTAGAAGAATAATTTCCAAAGAAATTATTTGTCAGAGTATATCATAATCTCCCCTTGAACTGTGAGAAGTTTGATGGAAGGATCTGACTTTAGTCCTCTCCAAATTCCCTGACCTTGGCACCAAGCTACACTATAATGATGAACAGGTAGAAATATCAACAAATCTGTCTCAGGTATTACATCTTTTCTCATAGATAATCTAACCTTGCTTTGGATTATCTACTGAAGATTGATAAACAGGGAGAAAAGGATAGGAGGAGCACTATTTTATAGAATCATTAATTCAACAATTATTTATTCACCTCCTACTTTATGCTAGGTGGAGCCCTGTTGGTGCAGTGGGCAAGCTACGGCTGCTAACCGAAAGGTCGGCTATTCGAATCCACGAACTGCTCCTTGGAAACCCTATAGGGCAGTTCTATTCTGTCTTATTGGGTTGCTATGAGTCCGAGTCGACTTGATGGCAATGGATTTGAGGGTTTTTTTTTTGTTGTTATATGCTAAGCACTCTACTAAGCCAAACCCATTGCTGTTGAGTCAATCTCCATAGGATTTTCTTGGTTGTAATCTTGAAGGATGCAGATCTCCAGGCCTTTTTTCTACAGTGCCGCTGGGTAGGTTTGAACGTCCAACATTTAGATTAGTAGTCGAGTGCAAACTGTTTGTGCCACCTGGGAACTCTACTATTGTTGTTGTGTGTTTTCTAGTCGATTCCAACTCATAGCAACCCTGTAGCACAGAGCAGAACTGCCCTGCAGCATTTCCTAAGCTGTAGTCTTTATGGGAGCAGATCGCCAGGTCTTTTCTTCCAAGTTTGAACTGCTGAGCACTTTAACCATTGTGCCACCAGGGCTCCTCAGGGACTCTATAGACTCTGGAAATGCCAGTGGAGAAGAAAACTTAGTCTAGAAAATAGACATTAAACAAATAACCACACAAAATGAGTATGTAACTACAAAGTGGCATGAAGGTTGCTGTTATAAGAGAGTAGGCCAGGGAACTCTAAATTAGAGTTTTAGATTAGATTATTAGACGATGATTGATTGATGTAGGTTATATGATGACTTATATTAGGATAATCAGAGTGGGCCTGTCTGAGGAAGCAACGTAATGCTTAAGCTTGGACTTACAATAAATGAGGCATTGGTCAGATAAACCATGGGAGAAAGAATATTCCAGGCAACATAAACAACACCGTGGAGTGGAAAAGCGCTTGGTTTTTTGGAGGAACAGACAGAAGGTCATTGTGACTGGATCCAGTGAGTGAGGATGGTGATGGCATGAGATGGGGGTCATGTCACTCATAACCTTGTATCCCATCCTAAGGATTTTGGAATTCATCCCAAGTGTAATCAGTGAACTGATAAATATGAGAAAGGGCTACAATGCCAGAGTGCAAGTGGCATCTTGAATGACCTAGGACAGCAAGAAGGCAAGAGGGTAGGCAGCAGCACTAAAGAGAAATGACAGGCAGAGCAGACAAACCTGACCCATTTCATGGTTTTGCTAAGAAGGGCTTCCACAGTGGTTTGCTATTAATCTAGTTTTATTGCATATATCACTACTAATATAAGCCTGAAGATAGGAATTGATGTCATTCGTGGATTTTATAACAATTAAGTTCTATTATTTAGAAAATACAAATAATATCTCATTTATTGTCTTTTATTCTTGCAGCCCACCTTTCTCAGGCCCAGATCCTATGAAAACCTATAACATCATATTGAGGGGGATTGATATGATAGAATTTCCAAAGAAGATTGCCAAAAATGCTGCTAATTTAATTAAAAAACTATGCAGGTAAGCATTTCAACCACATTATTTTTGGAAAAGTCATAATTTAAAAAAAAAAAAGTAGATTCCTTATCAATTATTATTTTATTTATAGGGACAATCCATCAGAAAGATTAGGGAATTTGAAAAATGGAGTGAAAGACATTCAAAAACACAAGTAAGTGTTCTTTCCTTTTAACTTTAGGTTTCAGAGACAGTTCAGAAAACCTGAAAAGCATTTCTCCCATGGTGTCGCTTTTAAAAGCATAAGTTAGTGGCTCTATAATTGATGTGATTAGCATAGTGTTGTTAGGTGCCGTGGAGTTGATTCTGACTCATAGCAACTTTGTAGAACTGCCCCATAGGGTTTTCTAGGCTGTAATTCTAGGTTGTAATCTTTAAGGGAGCAGATCGCCAGGTCTTTTCTCCTGCGGAGCAGCTGGATGGGTTCAAACTGCCAACCTTTGGGTTAGCAGCGAAGTGTTTACCATTATGCCACTGGGACCATCCAAACAGAGAATGTAGACTAATTAGCCTTCAGAAAAAGTGCCTTTCCAGTTTTGTCTCTGAGACTTGATTTAGATACATCTGACCCTGTAGCATGTACTGAATTCACTACATTCGACTGCTCCCAGTTTGCACAAAGTAGCATTTTATCTTCGCTAGTTTCCGCGGCAGCTAACAATAACAACAGCAGAAGGAGGAAATGTGTCTTTTTTCTTTTTTCTGGAATTCTTTTCTCTTCCAGACTATTAAAAACAAAAACCTTGCGCCTTATTATACCTCATTTCCTAGACTAAAGCCAAAACATTTTTGCAGCCATTTCCATAATTTAGATAAATAACAGGAAAATAAAAATTACAACCTTTTACGACGATAGCAGCGTCTTAAATATCAGACCTCACCTATGTTGACTGAGTGTTCTGCAGCTAAACTAAGCACAAACTGGTTTTTCTTTATTAATCTGTGTGTGACATTCACAGGAAACACACATTCTAATCAAAGAAACCTATTTACCAAAATGCCTAAGAAGGTATCTAAAAGGTGGGCAGGCTTACTAAGAACGTGATGTAAGCATTTGCTAACGGTGAAAACCTTTCAAATTAAAACAAAACTGTAATATTATTTGGTCTTCATTTTCACAGAAAATCTATACATGAAATATCTTCATTTTATTAAAAAAAAAAAAGAGAGAGATGGGATATAATGGGATATGTAGAGACCAATACAGAGATGTGAAAAGATTAATTAGCTGAGGTTGTGCACTGACTCAGTGGCAAAGATAGAAAGGTAATTTTCTTTCCTGGCTTGCATTTCCTGATTCTACCTCTTTAAAATAAAATATCCTGGAAGGTACAGGATCAAGCATATTATGACATTCATTAAATTAGAATGATAGTGTAGGAACAAGGTCATACGGACATTGATGGAAATTACTAGAATAAAAAAAAGTTGGTTTCTAAATGGTATTTTCAGTCTTGACAATTAGGCTTTTTAAAATACGCACTTCCTAAAATAAGGTAATTGGAAAAATCTGCAGTTAAATAGAAAACAATTATATTTTTGTCACATTGAAAATGTTTGCTAACTGCTTTCCATCCGTCATATACATGTATTGTTGCAATGAGAAGGTTTTAGCTGAAGTGAAATGCCTTTAACTGTCTGCATGTTTTTCTTTCTTTTTGTTTTTGTCCATTTCCTAGATGGTTTGAGGGTTTTAATTGGGAAGGCTTACGAAAAGGTACCTTGACACCACCTATAATACCAAGTGTAAGTAGCCTTTCCAGTTTGTAATTGTATGACACACTTGATGGGGCTTATGTCAGTCATCAAAGAGACGTCATTTTTAAAGCCTTATCCTATGATCAGATTAAGTAAACTATAGATGTGCCACATTAAGATAATGATATATCCTAAAATCCAACGATATATGCTAAAATCCAAGCTCCAAAATAAACTAGGGACAGTTGCTCTCTATACATTTTTCCTTTGACTTTGCTAACTGTTCATTTTAACACAAACTTCTTTTATTGATAAATAAATGTTAATTTTTATAACATAAAAGATTAAACATATACAGATGTAGGCAGAAGATGAAGCTCCAGCAACCAGCTTCAACAGTTATCAACTCCTGGCAAACACTGTCTCATTTATGCTACCCACAGAGTACCTCCTCTCCTTTCTCATATTACTTTGAAGCATTCCGAGGCACAATTCCATTCTTTCAGCAGTCTCTAAAAGAAAATGACCCTCTTTTCTTCACTCAACTCTCTTTCCCTAATACATCAGGTTTTGTGTTAAGTAGCCTCCACTAAGTGAGCTAAGTGTTTCCACTGTATTAACTCGAAACAGATTTCAAGTGATTGCATTTATATTTTCATTCAGTGCTGCATCTATTTAATAACTGCTGCATCCTAATCAAGGAGGAGAGGAGTGCTCTGTCTGTGGTCCCGGGTCTTTCATTTTTACGCTTCCTCTTTATAGGACTAACTCAAGATGGCTGTTTATACAGAAACGTTTTCCCATCTTCTAGGATTTATTTCTGTGCTAATATTTACGTTCATTCACAAACAAACCAAAAATACCATTACTACATCTCACATTACAGATGTTTATCGCATTCAAGGAATTTTAATTTTAGAACAAGAGTAGAGTAAGAAACTGGGATGGATAAATATTAAACTAAGCAGAACTATTACCCTAGCCTAAATTTCAGGGCTCTTTCTTTAGGCAGTAGAAATATTTAATGGCAAATATTTTTTCCCAAAGCAAATGTTTCTAAATATTATGCGAGATGAGGAGAACTAAAGTATGCTTCATTACTTTTACTTTGACTGATGGTTTACGGAAGATAAGACTTTGCCCAGTAAATCTGCAAGAGTTTTACTTGAACTTAGAACTGGCTTTTCATTATACTTAGAGTGAAAACACAAAGTCCTTAGCATGGCCTACAAGGCCCTACATAACCTGGCTCCTACCTATTTCACCCCCCACCTAATTCCACTCTCCTCTCCTCTTAGACAGCAGCCAGTTGGCCTCTCTTGGTTATTTCAAAGCATTGAGCTCTCTCTCACCTCAGGACCATTGTGCTATAACCTGTTACTTGAACTCATCAATTCTTGGGCTTAAAAATAATGCTTTCTCAAAGAGACTTTCCTCAATCACTCTAATATACTCTCATGGCACCTTGTATATTGCCTTCATAGCAGTAAGCAAAGTTTAAAATTGTATATTGATCTTTGTGGCTATTTGTTTTAATCACACAGTTTACTCCTTACTAGGATCAAGTAACCTCCATAAGGGCACAGACCATGTCTACATTTAGTCACCACTGTTACCCCCAATACAAAGCTCAATGCCTGCTATATAGTAGACACCCAAAAAATAGTCATTGAGTAGGGACTGAATAAAGAATGAGTTTTTTTTTTTTTTTTTAAACCTAGCTTGGTATTCTACGAAACAATCAGATTCAAGAAAACCTTTTGCTAGTCCTTCTGTCTTGCTTGCAGGTTGCATCACCCACAGACACAAGCAATTTTGACAGTTTCCCTGAGGACAGTGACGAACCACCGCCTGATGACAACTCAGGATGGGACATAGACTTCTAACGTATTTCTCTTACCTGCTTCTGCCTTGCTGAAGACAGCTTTTGCTGAGACACAGCTGCCAGCAAACCTGAGGGAAAGGGAGAAGAGTAGTGCTCGGGGTCACCATGATGCCTTTGATCGATGCTGCTCCAGTAAACTACAGTGGCATTAGGACTTATTGCTTAGATGACAGTAGTGCTCTTTACATGTTTTCTGTTTGAATCTAAAGTAGCAGTTGACATGGTGGTCCTGAAGCAAAGCCTTTCACCAGTAAAGAAATGTTTTCTATTGTTGCAGTGATCTTGCTTTGCTCCGATTATAATTTGAAAGACTGTAGGAAACACTTCAATCCAGTAAGAGTCCGTACCTTGCTAGAATCATCAATAAGATCAAAGAATAATATATTAGGTACGATAGACTACTGTGATACAGAAACTGGGCTATTCCCTTTCTTCAAATGAGTGTTATGGGATATATTACTGCAAGTCAGTGTATATACCGTACGAAAGAGGACCACACACCTGTTGGTCATAGAGTTCGTGTCAAACCAGTGCTAGCAGTTTCACAATGTTATTTCCCAGCAGTGCTGATGACGAGACTGAATGTTACCTTTTCTTTCCGATAGATTTTAAAAATTGATATGATAAAAGCACAACTGCTATGGATTCTGCTGAGAACGCTGCGTTTTCACAGAGGATTGAAAAACATGCATGATATTTGTTTCTTTTTGATAAATTGGCATGATAGAGTGGGGAAAAAAGCAATTCATAAAACCATTTCATATTTTTTAAAATATTGTGCTTAAGGACGGTCCTGGAAATAAATGACTAGCAGCCAATTGGTTTTATTTATTACCTAACATACCCTCAAACTGAGGCTTAAAATATTCCCTTTTATAAAAATAAACCCTTGGGCGTAGAGTGGTGTGGGGTGGGGCGGGATTATGACCCATCCAAAAATAAAAATAAACAATATAGGTGCTATGTATATCTTTCATCTGTAAATGTCAGTGTCTGAAGAGACAACACAAATTCTAATCATTACATGTGTAGCCAGAGACTCAGTCATTTTCACTAAATTTATTAGACCAAACTCCTGTCAGATTTCACTTATACCGTGTAGTCTAGGATTGAGGGAGGAAGGTGATTAAAAACCTATTTGAACTAGCTTCTTGTCTTAGGCCTGAACCAAAAGTAAAATCAAATAAAGAAAGCACAAAGTCAAAGTCATTAAGATTTATCAGATGAGGAGTGTTACTTACGTGAGGTCAGGGAACAAGACAAGAACCTGGCCAGGTGCTGATTACCTTTTTGTGAGTGAACCAGTATGAGTCCATGCGCATGTACAAGTAGGAAAGGAGTACGGAGAAAATCAGGGACCTGACTGCTTAAAAATAAACTTTAGCTAAATAAGAACAGAAATGTTACACTCCTGAAATTTTATACTAGCCTGAAAAGACTAGATTTGAAAACATCCATCTGATTTGCTTTTTCACCTGGGGAAAAGATTCAGCACTTTAAACTGAGTTCTTTTTTGGCAGGCAGGTGGACTATTAGCTGCCATAATGAGCAGGGCCATTTGGAGGTTTTCCTGGACAAATAGCGTCATACCTATATAGACAAGTATATGGCCTTACAAGCTGTCATCCATACTCAGAACTGTGTATGAATTTGGTATATTGAATAGATGTTTGCTTTTTTCCAGTACAGAGGTGAAACAAAATCAACCAAATATAGACATTTCTGCAAAAAAAGTCAAATTAGATCATTATACCATAACCAAGAAGGCATATAATTTTTTTTAATCTGTTATACACAAGACCACTTTAGAATGTGATGTCTTATTAAAATATAGTACTAAGAAACATTTGTAGGATAAAATTATTAAGGGCAAAAATATACTAAGGACATATTATATGTAATTAGAAAAATGTTAAATGAAAACTTTGATTCTAAGATGTTATTGCTACTCTTGTGTTATTGGAGTTTTCCTGCTCAAATAATTTCTCAAAATCGGTCTATTCCCTCAAGATAATCACCGTCTTCTGCAGATTTTAGACTATAAAATTAAACATATCAACTGAAAATCTAAATTTGAACACTATTTCAGAAGCTTTATTCTTTCTAAATTGGGCTTTTAAAAATATATTTCCAGCATTATAGTCAAGGTTCAGAAATTTTTGTGAAGAAGTAGTGTGGTTTAGGCATGTTAGAGGTTTACTAGAATATTAAACTTACCTAGTCATTACATGGAGCCCTGGTGGCTCAGTGGTTAAGAGCTCTGCTGCTAACCAAAAGGTCAGCAGTTCAAATCCATCAGCTGCTCCTTGGGAACCCGATGGAACAGTTCTACTCTCTTTTATCGGGAGGGTCGCTATGAGTCGGAATCGACTCAACGGCAACAGGTTTGTTGTTGGGTTTTTTTTTTTTTTTTTTTTTTTGAGTCATTGTATAAGAGAATCTGTCCCTGCAACATTTCAAATACTCCAGAAAGCCCCAGAGATTAGCCCTTACTGTGGGTTTTGGAACTATGGTTCAGTCTAAGACAACCAATATGTACAAGTCTTCTTGAGAAGGAAGAAGTAGCATTCAGCACAATGTGATTGTAGTTTGTTTCTCCCACTTGTTACTGCATCTTTGTTCATTTCACATGTGGCATTGCATTAAGACCTCTAAAGCAATCACCAAAAAATAAAGATGAACTACATCTTCCAAGAATTACTGACAGAAAACATTCATCTAATTTTCAACATTAAATTTTAAGGAGTTAAATCTTGTCTTAATGAAGACACTAGGGCTAAAAGTCATGGTCAGCTTCATAAAGTGCATCTCACTTTATTTTGAATTTTTCATGCTCCCTCCATCTTATTACACTAAGGAACATCTGGATAAGTTAGAAGAGTGTCAACTTGTTTGACTTGTTAACTGACTTTCTTGTTAATGCTTCAAGTATGAGAAATAAAGGCTTTCTGTGTGTCTTGACTCACAGGAATACTGATAACAGCCAAGAAAAGGAGCATCATAATATTTGAGATGGATTGAATACATTAGAAAAAAAATTCTGGAAAATTGGTATAACTTATTTTTGTGTTTGTAACTTATTTCTTCTTAAGATATAAATCAGATCCATGTGGCATTGAAACAAATTTATTTCGATTATATTCTTTACAAGTGATAATTTTTATATAAAATTATGGACTATGCATGTGAATTACACATGTATAATAATACATAAATTCAACTATTGAATTATTCTTATTTCATTTCTAAATGACTGAACAGATGGTGAACTTAAATTTAAAGAAGTCAGCTACAATATTGAAAACAAGGACATTAGAATTGATTTCATACAGTAGGGTGATCTGTGCATTATCCATAACAACGTTTTATTTCACAAATAGGACCACAGACAAATATTTATGTAAATAGATACTTTTGTGTGATATTTTGTGGTACATATAACTTTTTTTAGTGTTTCACAGCATTATATTATTTCATTTTATTTGTACTGAATAATGTTTTTAGGTCCAAGTAGACTTGAATTAATGTCATTAATGTCAGTATTATTGAAAATTATGTCAACTGTACTGTTACTCATCTGTCCCATAGTTTAGAACATGACCTGGCTATCTGGCATTGTTGCAAGTGCCTTAAATTCATGGCATCCTATTAAAAAACAAACAAACTTGGTGTTATGCTGCATGACAAAGACAAACACACCTCAAAATGTTGTCCTTTCTTAGCTTGCTGCGTTTTACAGTTCTTTCTGCTAACAATTTATAAGCCTTTATTATATAATATTGATGAATTAATTACAGAAATGATGAAGTTGTTCTCTTATTTCTGTTAAATGTACCAGAGCTGTGTATCTGTTAATGAGATACAGCGTCATTTCTGTGAAATGTATAAATGTATGTGCAGGTCAAATTACTATATGACATACTATCAGTCTGTATACAGGTATTCCTGTTTTGCTAAGCTGTGCAGATTCAGTTAAAAAAAAATAGTGCAGTCAAGTTCTAACATATCTCATTTGGTAGACTCCATTAACAATGATCCAACCCAAAAGAAAAATGGGAAAATGACTGCTAACCACACCTCGTTATGAAACCAATGATGAAAAAGTACCTTGGTGCACCACTCAACAAAACAGGATGCTTTCTCTGAGTTCTTGTGTATGCAAATCGTTTATGAGGCAAGATTTCAACAGAACTAGAAAGTGAAACATGGGAAGCGTGTTGTTAGTCCTCCTCTTTACCTGCCCACGCATCAAAAGACAGAGCTCTGAGACATTGGCAATGACTCCGAGGTTTGGGCTTTCCAAGTAAAGGGACATTCTTTAAGTATCATCTATCAAATTTATTTCAATGTATGATGTTTTTACAACTGGTCAGTTCTTTTGTATTCTTGCAGCTATGGTTATTTGACTGTCCTCTTAAAATTTGTTCTACATGAAAGAGTCCTTTGTTAGTCAAATGCAACAACTGTCATCAAATGGTCATTGACCACTTGCACTCTTTTGATGTAGATCAAAAACTTTTTCATAAACTTAACCTGCTTTGATTTGCTCTGTATTTTTCTTGCAGCTGTAATTGCTGAGTGCCTGTTGTACACTTTATAGAGTTGAAATAAAAAAAAATAATTACTTTTGAACCTATTTGATGTTTAATTCCAGACAAGATTTCAAGAATAGAAGAATTGGAATATCATACTGGGATTGAAATACCATGTAGAAAATACTTATAACCCAAGCATCCTTCATGGAATAATGTATTATGATCTAACATAAAATGAATCCAGTAAGTGAATTTAAAGAATTCAATGAGAATAACATTGGGTCATTCAGTGTAAATAGTAAAATAAGTGTAGATACCCACAGAAACCCAGAAATAAGCAGATTCCTGCACCACCAGCACCATCACACGCACTCTTGTTGAGTTACCTTTCATCGACCTCTGAGCTAGGCAAACCATTAAAGGGACAGTTCTTATATATTACTATGAGCTAGCAAGGAATTATTTAATATGAAAAACAACTTCATGGATGTTTGTCTAAAATTAGTTCACTAGATTCCTCTGATAAGCTTCTTATGCATAAAGATGTCTTGCTGACATCACACTGTCAATGACCGTGGGTTGAAAACCCCATTTGATGAAAACTAGAAATTCAGTTAACTATCTCAGACATAGCCAGTAAAATAACTTAAAAAATACTCTATTACTGTACCACAATCCGTTAATTTAATTTCTTCTGCAAATAGAACCTGAACATAAGCTGTTAAGATCCATCATTTAAGTTCTGTGATTTTTGTATTTTTAACCTAAGAATCATGAAGAGGGTGCAGAACTGGGCGAAGTTTCATTCGACGGGTCAGAGCCAGC